CTTCTCAGTCTCTTTCTCTTTGGCTGACTCCTTACTCTTTGTCTGTCTCTGTCTCTTTCTCTGTCTCTGTCTCTTTCTCTCATCTTTCTCTGTCTCATTTTTCCTCTCTTCTTCCTACTTTTCCCCCTCTCTCTTTTCTCTCTCTCCTCTCTCTCTCTTTCTCTTTCTCTGACCAATCTATTCTCTGTCTCGTTTCTCTCTCTCTCTCTCCTCTCTCACTCTCTCTCTCTCTCTCTCTCTCTCTTTCTTCTCTCTCGCTCTTTCTTTCTCCCTCTCTCTCTTTCTTTCTCTTCTCCACCTCTCTTCTTGCCTTTCTCTCTCTCTCCTCTCCCTCCCCCTTCTCTTTTTTTGTCTTCTCTCTCCTCTCTCTTTTTCCTCTCTCCCTCTCCTCTCTCTCCGTCTCTCTCTCTTCTCCTCTCTTCTCCAGCCTCTCTCTCACTCTCTCTCTCCCTCCCTATCCCTCCTTCTCCCTCCTCCCCTCCCTCTCCCTCTGTCTTTCACTTCCCACACACACACACACACACACACACACACACCACACAAACACACACAACACAACACACACATATACACACACATACACACACAAATACACACACACACACATACACACACACATACACACACACACACATACACACACACATCACATACACACACACACGACAAACATACACACACATACACACATACACGCTTTCATTCACCCCTCCCCCCACAGCACACAAACACACACATACCACTTTCTCATTCCCGCCCCCCCCCCTCCCACACCACACATTCACACGTTCATTCAACCCCCCATCCCACACCAGCATACACACATACACGCTTTCACCCCCCCCCCCCACACACATACACACTATCACCCTCCCCCCTCCACACACACACATACACCTTTCACCCCCCCCCCCACACACACACACATACACACACATAACACACTTTCAATCCCCCCCCCACACACATATCACACTTTCGCCCCCCCACACACACACACAACACACAGCATAAACAGCTTTCACCCCCCCCTCCCAACACACACTATAACACACATACACACGGTTCAACACCCCCCCCCCCCACACCACACCACACACATACCACTTTCACCCCCCCTCACACACACACAGACACACAATACACACTTTCCACCCCCCCCACACACACACATACACACTTACACCCACCACCCCCCCCCCCACACATACACATACACATTTTCACCCCCCCCCCACACACACTACACAACGAACACACATACACACTTTCACCCCCCCACCACACACACACATACACCTTCACCCCCGCCCCACACACACACACTATCACCACTCCCCACACACCCCACATACACACATACACACTTTCATTCACCCCCCCCCACACACACACACACGCGTGTTCGTTAACTGTGCCGTTATCAGTAACGATAACATTTCAAATATTTGCCACGACGGCAAAGCTCATGCCGCATGCATGTACATACATACGTACACATGAACGTACATACATAGATGAACGTACATAGATACACATGAACGCACATGCATGTACACATGAACGTACATACATAGATGAACGTACATAGATACACATGAACGCACATGCATGTACACAGGAAACGTACATACATAGATAACGTTCCATAGATACACATGAACGCCACATGCATTACACATGAACGACATACATATAAGAACTACAAAGATACATATGAACGCACATGCATGTACACATGGACGGACATACATACACACATGGACGTACATACATACACACATCCGCGTACATACATATACGTTAACGTACATACACACACATGGACGTACATACATTCACATGGCCGTACATACATACACACATGGACGTACATACATACCTACACGTACATAAACACATCTATTTACATAAACACATCCATTTACATAAACGCACATCACATACATACATACATGTACGCACATGCACACGTGTTCAGAACCAGGTAGATATGCTCGTTTATAAACAAATATATAGAGATATATATACATATATATCTTTATCTGTGTGTTTTGTGTCTGTTTGTATGTTTGTTCTACGCACATACTTACACGCACATACACACACGCAAACGGAAACTTAGATAGATAGAGACGGACAGAAAGAGAGAGAGAGAGAGAGAGAGAGAGAGAGAGAGAGAGAGAGAGAGAGAGAGAAAGAGAGATGATGGGCGAGGAAGAGAAGAGAGTGAAGAGAAGAGAAAAGAGCGGAGAGAAAAGAGAAGTAGAAAGGGAGAGAGAAAGAGAGAGATAGAGAAAATGACAGACAGAGGAAGAGAGATAGAAATAATGAAAGACAGAGGAAGAAAAAGAGAGAGAGGAAGAGAAACAGAGAGAGAGGAGAGAAAGAGAAGAGAGAGAGAGAAAGAGATAGACTGAAGAAAAAGAGAGAGAAAGAGAAAGGAGAGAGAAATAGAGAGTATAAGAAGAAAAATGACAGACAGAGGAAGAGAGATAGA